ATTCAATCAGATTTTAACTTAAATCAAAAGGAAATCCGCTCAAATTCAGAGGCTTGGTTCTTGATTTAAGCTTAAATCTGATTGAATCAAGAGTATATTTTCATGTCGATGTTTTTAAGAGTCTTGACTCTAGATCCAATGTGTTTTTTTTTTTTTTTTTTTTTTTTTTTTTTTTTTTTTTTTTTCCAGTGCACCCATTTCAACGAATAGGATTGCTCTATACAACCTATGTCTCCTTTCTCTATAGCTTTGTCTATCAACTTCAATAATCAGCCCGCAAGCGTGCAGAATATGCTCGATCGCCTAAACCGTGAATCGCTGGTGCACCCCTCAAAATGCCGTGCACATTGCACAGTCCGGCTGGCACAGGGTAGGCAATTTGCACATCGGATGTATGTGCAACGGTGTAGTGTTTGAAGTATTCATACGATGTTGAAGGCGCAATATCTGGCGCGACTTAAATTACCGCGATAATAATTAGAATTCAAATCATTTGGAGTGCATTCTTTTCGCTGAAAACTCTGCAAGCTTAAATCCGATTGAATCAAGAGTATTTTTTCTTGTCGATATTTTTAAGCGTCTGGACTCTAGATCCAATGTGTTTTTTTTCCAGTGAACATCAAAATTCGCAGTTTTAGTCAAAAATTGCATGTTTGACGTTTCTGATCGACTCGATCCACTATGCGTCACGATTCAATCGCAAAATGTAGTTCAATCAGATCTCGATTATCCTATCGTAATTTATCGAATGACGTAGGCACTAAATCAGTCACGAGCAGTGGGGAAAAAACGGAAACGCTCGAGTTTTGCATTTCCAGGCCGTGCTCCGTGCTCGCCCCCTCATCGGCCCCGGAATTCCTGCTCCCCCTTCGTTTGTTCCCGCGGCCCGTCACTTTGACATAAGGGCGTATGTACCCTCTGCAATGAACCCTGTCTTCCATACAATTCCATGCTTTTCCGGGCTCATCTCAATGTACAGTTCCAGCCAAGCGACGACTTTCGGCTCCTCGCCCTCGGGGCATATCTTCATTGAAATTTATTTCAACCTCAAGAACTCGAGACATGCCGAAATTCCATCAAAGTTTTACGGATCCTCCGCCTGTGCCGTCAGCATCCCCTCGTCCTTGCTGCCCTCGCGTCGTCTCCCCGCTTTCTCCAAATGAGTAATGATCCCGATCCGAACATCTTGTCAGCAAGTCGCGGCAAGCTGTCGAAACACCCGGCACCCGCGGTCATGCTAAAGCTCTCTTCCGTTGTTGCCGCCGTTTCTCGAGGGCAACCGCGGTCAACATGGAGGAAAAGAAACTGTAGCTCCAACACCCTTAGAAAGCCCTGATACGGCGTTTTTCCCGCAATGAAAAACTATAGGTTTCATTAATAAATTACGATCTCCTCACAAAGGAGTAAACATATAGCGTTATAGCGTAACAGTTGGAGCGCCGCGCCGGCCCGCGCCTAGCCGCGTCGCTTGAGAACAAGATCGTTCAGGGTGTCTAGGTGCAAGTCCGGAAATTCCGGAAATAGTACTGATTTTTTAAGGGCGGTCTGAAAGTACTGTAAAAGTGCGGAAATTCCGCAAAAAGGTCCGGAATTTTTTTAAATTTTTGTCGCATTTTCAAATTCTTGAAATTTTTCTAACTTCGTCAAATGGAGGTACTGAAAAATTACGGAATTTTTCTGTTGGGGGAGGTGCTGAATTCCTTGAGAATGTACTGAAAAATTACTGTAAAGGTACTTATTTTTAATCAGCCTGCTTTAGTAGACACCCATTCGTTACCAGTTCGCCTTCAAATTTTCCAATACAACCCAGCCTTACACCGATGTTAATTAATTTGCATCCACTTATTGGCTGTATTCTGAATGTATTTTAGTGGATTAAATAATTTTGTTTTATTTTTTCCAATAATTGCTCAATTTAAGAACCAAGGGTATCTTCTTGTTCAGTTCTCTCAGTAGCTTGCGCTTAAACACGAAATTCATTAAAGTTCAAATCCTTCATTGGCAGGTATTTATCATACCAGACAAAATGATTCACCTTGATTTTAAAAATCAAGTCGAACCGTAAGCTTCATGACTCCATCAACTGGACTCACGGTATTCATGACGTCGATGTAAACATTAATTCCAGGAAGCGCGCTAGAATAGGGGAGAAAACTAATCCATGTCACCTTTACACGTCCCTTCAGCAGCATAACACACTTCCAACCCCTTTTCTCCCTCCGATCTCCATTTTTAATTACTATGCGCCGTTCATGCGAGGGGCGACGGAGTGAAATATGGCGCCGGCGGGATTATCAATGCGGATTTTCTCAAGTTCGTCATCACTCACGCTTCATTAAAAGCTAACTTTCAAGACCGAGGTGGCATGCGGTCCGTCCCGGGAACATGCTAGATAGAATCTCCGTCGGGGTGGAACCGCCCTTTCGTTTTCAATGGGCATTTGTTTGCCTACCCTGATTCCGATGTTTGTCTACACCTGCGAGCGCTGAGCGTGGCATTGTCATCACAGCGCGGAAAATGGAAAAAAGTAATTGTACGTCGAGAACGTCCTCAAAGTGGGAGGGGGCGAAAGCGGCTCACTCGGGTTGTAATTAGTTCCGTGGGGGGCTGTTGTCGAATCGCTTCATTTCTCGGAAATTGTTGGAATATTCCTGCAAAAATTGCTCTTGGGTTGAAAGGTAAAGGTAACTCGAGGCTATAATTTTGAAAATTATTGGTTTAACTTAACTTAAAATTTTAATTAAAAATAAATAGAATAAAATAAGATATTAAAATACAAATCTGAATAATCCAAATCTAATAAAGTTGATAGTATACCAGAGTAGAAGTTCTAGTAGATCCTACGGACAAAACCACTTATCAACCACGAAATCCAAAGTATAGTCGTTTTAGTAGGAAGCAAATTTCATAGCTGTGCAAATTTTGAGTCCTGCTATAGCAATGGGAGTACCTTTAGCACTTCTGATTTTTTTATTTATTTATATATTACCTCTGAGGTCGAAAACGCAGCCCCGAAAACTTCTATCACTCTAGGAATTTGCTAAAAATTCAATTTTTCGGAATACCTTTGGTTGGTTCGGAACATTTTCGGTAATGATTGAATTAGATACATTAGTTTTTCTATGAATTTTCATCGATTTGTAATCGAAAAGGTAGGATAGTTTCGAATTTTAAAGGAATGAAACTGATAGCATTTTTTTTTCCACTTTCAGCCTTGATTTTGTTTCGTGTTTTTTTTTTTTTTTTTTTTTTTTTTTTCGCTCTCCCTTGATCAGGTAAAACCTGATGCAGTTAGGGACTTCAACCTCAAAACTTCGATATAACCATATATCACACATGCAACTGACATATTTTTCATTTGTCCCTAAAAAACAGTTCGAAATCACTTACAGCGGCAACGAGGCAGCCGACAAGGCAAAACGTCGACAGGTCGGCGTTATCTCTACAGCAAGCTGTCGGCTGTATTTTCGCGCATATACTGCCGCGCCCAACAGAAACCACCTATCTACATCGAGACTCTCGTTACAAATACGCGGTTGTAGCTCCGGAGGTCAGTATGACCGATGCCCGCAGGCGTCTCGCGTGAGGGTCGCGCCGACGAGGGGGTGGCTCGGCCACCCCCTCACCGATCGCGGAATTAAACGGTGTTTACGCATTGCGGATGGCGTTAAAAACGCGGCGACACGACTGATAAGAGAACCGGACTACGGAGACAAAAACGCGTAACTCGAATGAGTGTTCTATGTGGATACGTTGTTTTATGTATAACGCGTTGGAGGATCCGTCACCCTTCGCTCACCAGCACGAGGGTGGTTTTTTTTTCGATGGACCCCACCGTGAATATAACCATACGTGTTCTATGGCCCACGGGGGGAAGGAGTTACGCCCTTGTTGGGGTGTTTCCGGGTGAGGCTGGACAGGAACTACGAGCAGATTAGAATGGTCAGTGTTGGTTTGACGTGCGTTGCCTCGTCGTAAATTTCAACCCCTTCCCCCGCCCTTGATCGCCTAATCGAGCCCTTTTTTGCCTGTTCCTGTCTCTATCGCTTCGTCCCCAGGATTTCACGGTAGCGCTGTTTTTCCCGCAATACGAGGAAGGACTTTTTAAAATATAAAAATAAAAATTGCCCGGAAAAAGTGACGAGCGTGTCGACAAGCTCTGAGAGGTTTTACGACTCACGGTAGGCGAATTATCGCGTTTAAATTTTTTTATTCCCGCTCGTGTTGCCTGCGTAACGTAACTATATTCCGGGAGAAGTTGAATTGAAAAGGATTTCTGCAGGACCGGTTCATCTGGAAAATAACGAGTTTTTTTTCCGTGGGATTTGTTTAGCGGAGAAGGCTTATTTTGAGAATAGTAATTTTAAGATTTAGGTTTTTTTAAAAATTATCCATAAGTTTGTTTTAAATAATTAAGTTGATATAGTTATTTAAGAACAAGTCCGGAAAATAATTTTTAATCGAAAATGTATGAACTGAGAAAAAATTTTCAGTTCATAATTTTGGTACGAGAACTCTGAAAAATAGAAGTGTCAAGGATTTCAAGAATAGTTTTATTCTTCAGAATATTTTTTCAGGAAATTATTTCTCATCGCTTTTTCTCTAAACTCTGAGCTCTCAGCTTCACCGCCGATTCCCTTTTCTAAGTTTTCAAAGTTATCTAACTTTCATAGTCGGTTTTTTTTTTTCAAATTGCCTCTGCATTTTGGATCAATTTTTCCAAAAAGTTGATTCTTTCTGAACATCTTTTTTTCCATTTGTATGGAGTCTTTTCATCAGATTTTTTTTTTTAAAAAAAAATTCTTTTCTCTTTCGAAATTTGGCAATTTTTTTTTATTTATTTTTTTTTTAAAAAAGAAGTTCTCTGCACTCAACGGCCATTTTTTAACTTGATTTTCTAATTTTTTTTACATGCCATTGAACATTTGAAGTTGCCATGCATTTTGAAAATCTGTATTTCAATCAACTAATTTCAGTGTGTTTTTTCATGTGTGTTCCAGTGTAAGACGAGGGAGAGCGGTCTCGCGCGTTTCAGAGGAAGTCGGTCGAAAAATGGACGCGAATTTAGTTGAAGTGTGACGACTTTGAATCGCGCCCTGTGTTAGCCCGTGATGGCTGCCGCTCCAGTCTTCGGGGCCTCTCTATGTCTGACCGTCTTACTCTCCCTCACGCTCGCAGCCTGGCAGGAAAACGCCCGACCCAAAATCTCCGTCCAACTAGGTAAGATTCTACTTCAATTTTCAAGCCAAAGTTCAAAAAAACATCTCCGCACAAAATTTTAAATGAAAATTATGCGACTTTGGGCAGGATATATTGCCTCGTCGAGGGAATTTTCCTATTGGATCGGGGTGTTGGAACGTCACTCCACTCTAAGGTTGTAAGATTGACCGAGCACGGAAAGCAACTATACTCTTAGCTGATTTTGGCGCCAGATACATATTACAGTAGTTCCATCAGCCAGAGGTATGGTTGATCCAACCACACTTTCAGCTTTCTCAATTATTCCTCTGGTTGGTGCAACTACTGTAATATGTGGCGCCAAAATTAGCGAGGAGTATAGTTGGGATCGTGATACTTTGTTTCGTGTGAAACAATCTGATTTTTAACGTCTCAGGAGCCATGTGACGCATCAAACTTGATTTTTAGGGGCCATTGAAGATTTTTTAGGAGCCAAATTCACTTTTTGCCCTTGTATCACAGCGCGTTTAGTGAAAAGTTAGACGCAAAATGTTTTAGTTTCAGAAATAGTAGCTGTAACTTGGGGGAAATTTCGGTAAATCACCAAACAGAGAAATAACGATTCTTTTTTTTTTTGGGGGGGGGGGGTTAGGGGCCTTGTTGGCGTAGAGCCTTCATTTTTGAGGCGCCATGACCGATTTCTTAGGCGCATTTGACGCGTCGGAACCTGTGAGTTTTGAACACTGATCGCGCAAGAAAGTTGCGAAAAAGTGCAAGAGAGATGTGGATTTTCCGATGCGGAGGACAGGGCACATCGTCTCGCTCTTGATGCGTTCATTTAGCGCCGCGCCGAGCGGGGGCAGTGACAGTGTCGCCTGAAAACGACAGGCATCTCGAAGGAGAAGAGGATTAAAGAGTTCGTTTAATAGAGGCAAACTAGTTGTGCGCGCCGGGAGATAAGAGTCTGGGGAACCGGGACACCCTTGCCCGATCGGCGCGCTCCCACAGGATCCGATCCCGAGGGAGGAGGGCGACACGGCAACGAGGGCGGAAGGAAACTATAGAAAAAGGCAGAATCTTAGGTTAGTAACGGTAAGCTGGTAGCGGGAAATTATACGGAGTATTAACGGCGCACGGGAAGCTATTAGTGTTCCGAGACGTTCCCGTGTATCTGTTTTTTATCGGGAGTGCATCTCTCCAGGCAGCGGCGTGGCGTGAATTGCGATACATCGATTGTTATGCCATTTAAACCTATGGTAAAGAATCGATTATTAAGGTGTTCGCTGCGAATACCCTGCTTATCGATCCTTTTTCATAGGTTTAAATGACGTACGAATCGATATATCGCAATTCACGTCACGCCACTGCTCCAGAGCTCGGTGGGGGTGGGACTGGAAAACGCTGCCGTGCCAAGGAAAAACGCCGTATGAGCCTTCAGGCGTTGCCAAATTTTCTCCGGCAAATCACCGATTTACAGGGAAATTTTTTTATATTTTTCCGCCAATATCTCGGACAATTTTGTTTGTAATTTGATCTAAAGTGTCTGAAAATTCGAAGGAAAAATATTCATAATTTTCCTCAAAAATAAACATTTTATCCAAGGAAATTTGGCAACTCTCGAATGTTCATACGGCGTTCTTCCTTAGGACGGCAGAGTGGTAGTGAAGGGTTCTCTATAGTCGGAGCAACGTCTCAAAAACTGGCGATTCTAAGGTTCTCTTCTGCCGTTCTAAGGAAGAACGCCGTATGAAGTGTCGTTGATCGGCAGATTTCTCGGGATAAATTATCTATTTTTGAGGGAATTAACAAAGATTTTTTCGTGAAATTTGCAGATACATTAGATAAAATTGCGACTAAAATCCTTTGAAAATTTTTAGAAAGAACATTCACAAGGTTTGTTTTAAGAATTCGCATTTTATTGAAGGAAATTTGGCAACGCCTGAAGGCTCATACGGCGTTCTCTCTTAGCACGGCAGTCTTGTATCGCAAATGAACGTCGTGAATTCGTGATGCTCGCTGATGTTCAACGGCCCGCTCTTAAACGATTTTTGGAATTTTGGATCCCACAATTAAAAAATTGCTAGGTGTATAAGGGGAAAAACGCATGCGTAAGTCTAAAAATCATCAATTGGCTCCCTCGAAAAAATCTGGCCAAATAATACTCACGCCTAAAAATTGGTGCAGGAGTTTGATTTCCACCGCCTCGCCATTCTACCTCCTTTAAAAAATTGTCCACTATCATTTGGACTACGTTCGGTCTTCGGAGCTAAGTAATTTCTGACTCTGCTCAGAAAAAACGTATGCATGTTTCCCTATGTCCGTAGATGTTTTTACGGGTGAGCCAGAAATTTTAGTTCTCAATCGCTAAATGAAGTCCATTTTCATGGCTCCTGAAAAGTTGTAGAAAGCTCTTCAAAATTGCCTTTACTTTGCCGGCCAAATGTCAAGGGTGTTTTCGGATGAAGGTTAGAGCGATATTGCCTTCCATTTTCGAGTTAGGCCAGAAAGAGCTCGCCATTCTCTAGCAGGTAGTATAAAAATAATGATTAACTCATCATTTTTCCAGAGAAATATATTGCTATTTAAATGTAGGATGAAGCACTAACAACTTGCTCGAATAAGGCCCCTTCGTACTCGTGCTGATCACAACGTGAACTTTGAGCAGCCTACGCCCGGCAGAATAACGTCCTGACTATGACTTTAATAATTGTCGCTTTTAGGCGAAAGAGCGTAACTACGTCCTACGTATAAGCCAAATATTTTGCCGTGCTAAGGATTAGCGCCGTACGAGCATTCGAGAGTTGCCAAATTGTCTACGATAAAATGTTTATTTTTGAGAAAAGTTATGAATATTTTCATTTCGAATTTTCGGGAACTTCAGGTAAAACTGCGAACAAAATTATCTTAAAAAATTGGAAGGAAAATATTCATAAGTTTACCAGGAAATTCGTGTTTTATCCAAGTGTATTTGGCAACGCTTGAAAGCTCATACAGAGTTTTTCCTTAGCACGGCAGTAATGTCCGTAGAACTCCTTATTGCCCAGCGCTCATGTAGAAATAGAGCTACGCCTTTACGCCAGGAGAGCGACGGATATCCACGTCGCCTATTTTCAGTTTTCTTACGCTTCTCCGAATTACTCACCGGAAAAAAAGTTCAAGCGGGCGCATTCACATGCTTTTTCCGAGCCTGGATTTCGAGGAACTACTTAGCAAATAGATTTCCCGGGCCGGAGCACAGTGGAGTCAGTCAGTGAGACAGGTTAGACATGATATGGAAAGTGTGGAAGCTTATATGGGCTGCATTTAAATGTCTGGCTCATCCATGAAAGGACCTATCTACTCAAGGAAACTAATCGCATATATTTGGTGCTAAAATGAGCCAGAAATTGTAGTTCCTAATTGAATTCGCGCTTAAGTCCAAAAACTTATGAGCCCTAGCGTCTCTCAACAGAAGCCAGGGATCATGATTTTTTGGATTTACGCGTGTCTAACAGAGACCGATTCAATTGCAAAATATAGTACGTAGTACAGCTAATATAAAATGTAGAAGTTTACAAGCGGTTCCATTGCTTTTCTATTTTCATTTCCTTTAAAAAATACCCCGTAAAATTTAAAATGTGACAAAATTTGTCGTTCCCTGGAAGAATGAACTTTTAACTCTATTCCAAGATTGCAAAATTCACTCCAACGATTCGATTGTTTACGAGGAAGCATCCGTCAAATTTCTGTCCAAAATGTTTCTAATTTTTTCGCACGAAACTACAGACATAAATCAGTGAAATTTAATTAGAAACTCTTAAGATTCTCCCGGTAGAAATGACATTTTTGAGGGAAAATTCGTCCAAATTGAAATACAAGTACGTATTATCGTAAAACAAACGACGAATTTACGTGAAAATGTACATTTTCAGCCTCAAAGGTCATGTTTCACCCTCTCCACTGTGCGAGGGAGCGCAGAGCCCCGTGGAAAATCCAACGCCTCCTCGTTTCGCTCGACGTGACGCTATAGTTCTTTGACGTGAATGAAAAAGGCAGGTCGACTCGTGCGCGAGTGCTTATTTGCACGTACTTCTGCCAAACGGATCTACGAGATATGCATTACTACACGAACCCTGTTATGTATATATTCTTATGGGTCTCAGGGCTCATGTCTCACTGCACATAGTTCCGTTTGACAGAAATACGTCCATTAACTCGACAATACGCTTGTTTTTGCGCCAAAACGGCCGATATTCGCGAGGAACTTTGCTGGTTACACGTTGTTTTGTATTCGGGCGAGGCTGTACAAGCTATTTACTGCGCAAGAGCTCAGCGTGACAATACGAGGTTGAGAGGTTAGGTTGAGGGTTGAGAGGTTCAACGACAAAGATAGTCTGAGAGCTGGCGTTATAGTTGAAATGTTCAAGACAAGACGTTAAAAAAATGTTTGATAGGGAATTTGAGTGCGGGCTAATGAACGTTACCATCGTGATAATAAAAATCGTAACGTGTCGTTAACTGCCGTCCTAAGAAAGAACTCCGTATGAACATTCGAGAGTTGCCAAATGTCCTTCGATAAAATGCCTATTTTTAAGGAAAGTTATGAATATTTGTCTTTGAAATTTTCAGGAGATTTTGGTGAAATTGCTAACAAAATCATCTGAACAATTGGGAGAAAAATATTCATAAGTTTACCAGGAAATCCGTGTCTTATCAAAAGGAATTTGGTAACGCCTGAAGGTTCATAAGGCGTTCTTCCTTAGCACGGCAGTAGCGTTGAAGATGAAACGTTGTCTCAATGTGGGAACATGTTTTTAGTTTTCGGTAAAAACTATCACAGGACAAAATGATTAGTCCTTTGAAACGATAAAGAAAACCCTGGAATGTCCACGATGTTTACTGAACCGTGAAAGGTCGGGGAAATTCGTCGCTAACCTACACTTTACTTCGTCTTCAATAAAAATATGGCCAATATTATTTCATTTTTCCATCTCCTACCATTTTGTGGCGGTAGTTTTTTTATATCAGCTTTTTAATTCTTATATTTTTATTAAAGAGGCAAG